CTTTGTGCCTAAGACTTAGGTAACTCTAAGAGGTGGTAACTGCTTCTCCTTAACTAGAGGAGGTTGTTGACTACTAATTCTTTAGGAAGTTGTGGTATGAATCAGTACACATACCTGATGGAGTGATACTGGAATACTACATGTGTAACATTAGGAAAGAGAGCCTACATACTCGGGAGATGACGCCTGACATCACTTCATGGGGAGGGAACCCTCGTGTAGCCCCTACATAAATCATTTTGTTTTTCAAAATCTCTTTTGTTACAACCTTTTCTTTTTTGATAGTTTTCTTTTCATGTAAGATTTTAATTTTTTTTATTCTTCTTTTCTTTATTTTTATTTTTTATTGTCAAATCACATTCTTTTCCTTTTTGATCACAATCATAACTTTATTACTTGGTTTTGTTCCTTTTATTTTTTAAAATATTTCATTCTCCCTAACTTTATCATTTGTAAATCCTTGAATTTTTAATGCCATCTTATCTTTTAGACAAGGTATGCACAATATTTTTCTTTTGAATTTGGATAAGATTTGTAACTTTTTCAAAAACAAAAAATTTCATGTTAATGCTTAAATGGGTTATCAAAGGATCACACCTTCACAAGGTAGCTTTTATGGTTAAGTAAACTTTCACTCATTAAGCAAACAATACTTTGATCATATCCATGATATCATGTATATCAAGTAATAGCAAGAATGATCCAAAATCATCATATAGTTATAATGCATGTCTAATCTCATTTATATATGTAAAACATGAGATATATATTCATCCCACTTGGCTTATGATTCTTGTTTTCGCCAAACAAATAGTAATGTCAAATTTTAAACAAACAACTAATTCATGGACATGTTATAATATGAAGATAATTACAACATTAATCATAAATGAATCATTTAAAATAGTAAACCTTTTATCATGTCATCATTCTAGATTTTATCTTGAACTTGTGCTTTGTGATCCATCTGCATTTGACTTTTCAAATCATTTGAACCATCTGTGGACAAATAACTTCAAGCAATATTCACAAATATTTTCAAAATTTTCAATTTTTACGCTACTCGTGTATTTAAAACATGATCATATATAAAGCAATTAAATATCTAAATTAACTGCCACCAGTTTTGGCAAGCTTTAGTCCTTATCTTCTTCTTAGAGCATGCTCCTCCTTTAGAAGATTTTGGCTTGTCCTAAGGTCATCATTATATGAAACTAGAGTTTGAGTCATCAATATTTACTTGAGACTATAAACTTTTTCTTAGTAACGCTAATATTTTGTTGGGCGAACCTGTGTCAGGGAGATCTTCGCTTAGTGAATAGATGAGCTCACCTAGCAAGTTTTTGCAAAATTGAAAAAACTTGATTTTTCCAGTTTTTAGTTCAATCAACAAAATTTTCATTAAAGAAAATTTAAAACAAGGAAATTGGGTTGTCTCCCAATAAGTGCTTGTTTAATATCATTAGCTCGGCGTATGTGTTAAAGTTCCTTAATATATCTTCCTTTATTCTTCCTATTCTATATCATGAATTTGGGATGGGTAAGAAGTTGTTTCAAGGCTTCAGAGAATGGTATGCCCGTCAAGATTCTTTTGAGAATATCTGAAAACCTTGAATATGGAATTTTATTAGTTAGATTCAGTGTGTCAGGCATTTTCTAAACATTTGGATTCTTTAGTGTTTCCTCCCTTGTTCCTTGAACTTTTTTGTGTGCCTCTTCACTTACGTATTTATCGAACTTATTTCCTTATACTTCTTTCCCACTCTCTTATGCCTCAACAAAAACTTTTTCCTTTTCTTCATTACTGTCATTTCCACCCACTTTGTAGTGTTCATTTGTGTTAGTTTGAGTGTTGGCATTGGTTTATTGATTATGTAATTTCTTGACTAAACAACCAATTTGCACCTTGATGTTTTTTATTAAAGTGTCTATGCTTTTCTCACTATCTATTAACAACTATATGATTTGATTTAGTGTATCCTTTAATCTTGATGTACTGTTTTGTTGAGGAAAATTCTAGTATGGTTGTTGTTTGTTCACTAGTTATGCATATTGTCCATAATTTAGTTTGTTGTTGCTTTTACATTGCCATGGTCTTTAATGGTTGTTCAATAAATATACCAATTCATTTTTAGGAGTTCAATATCGTGTGGGATGATTTCCAGTGCAAAGTTCACAATAATAAATTCTCTAATGCGTAAGCTCCTCCTGCATTTCTATGTGAAAGCTTTAACACATGTCTTGTTAGTTTAAATAACTACAACTATGCACAAACATAAATGTATATAAAAAGAATATTTAAATGGATAAAAATCATCCCAATGTCTTTAAAAACTAATGCCGACCCTAGGAACGAAGCTATTTTGTTACAAGAACAACAAGGAGTATATTTGTCTCGTCTTCATAAGGACTGGTAGTGTTTAAAAAATCATTCAATAGTTTCTATGATTTTAATAATTGTTTGTCAAATTTGTTTGTTTGTGAAATTGAAATAACATAAAATAAATTGAACTTTAGTGTTAACAATTGAGAAAATTTCATGGATATAGATTTCATCGACATATCCCCATGTATTATCATTGATAATTGATATGCAATTTTAATCAGCTATAATATTACCATTCACCACTCTCTATCATAGCTCATGTCTGAGTCAACAACGTGAGATCAATCATATTACCTAATAGATAATTTCTAGGCCTATTAACCTAAACAATAACATTAAACTTTGATAATCCATGCATGTAATATTCCATATTCACTTAAATGTTTTATTCCTTGTCACCTGGGACAATTTGAGTTCCAAATGTTTTATTCTTTGTTAGTTCGGACAAATAGAATAATTAGTGAACTCAAATGAATGAGACTAATTATTACTCAATTCAATTAATTTTTACTAATTAATAAGAAATGATACTTTGGTGTCATTGGTAGATGATCAATTGTCACTAGGAGACAAAGACCATCCTAAATATTTATTCTTTCTCACTCTCTCTTACCATTCATAATAATATCTTTTGTTAGTAAGAAGAGAAAAAAAGATAAAGAAGATAAAGAAGAAAATAGAAGAAAAGTAGAAAGGAAAATAGGAAAACTTGGAAAGTTAAGATAAAAACTTGAACCATCAAGAACTCATCCCAATCATTCATCATTTCCAGCTTCTAGAGGTGGGTTCCTATTTAGACCTAGCTTCATGAGGGGAAAAGTTCATGAAATGAGAATTAGCTTTTGTGAATTTTTGCTATGTGTGTGAAATTGATGTTGATGCATGATCATCTTGTTGTTTTGCATTCCTATTTGTGTTAAACCATAATATTTAGTGTTATTGGATGCAATGTGATTCCATTATGATTTCTCGACACTCAAGGTTATTGATGCATTACACGACTCTTGCTTGAGCAACTTGCAAGTATGGAGTGGACTTGCCCATTTTATAGCTCTTTTGCCCCCATTCTACTGGGCCTTTGAAGATTTTCACCTCGAAAGGAGTTTGGAAGTAACTGGCCATGACCTTGAAGTTGATTGCCCCAATGTTATGAACTTGGAAGCAATTTTCCCTGGATTAACCAATTCTTTGAATGGTTTGCTTTTGATTGGCCGACCTTTGGAGAGTGGGCTCACTGTGCTCTTTAGGTAGTTTTCCCTAGTCTGAGTCTTGAAGAGATTTGCTCTTGACTAACTGACTCTTTGAGGGATTTGCCGAGTCTTGAAGTGATTTCCTCAGATTTGCTGAATTTGGAAACGATTTTCTACAGAATGATTGATATTTTGAGGGATTTTCCCACAATGTCTTTTCACTGCTCGCCCTTGGTTAATAGAGTCCTTAGATGGTTTTTCTCAGCTTGAGCTCTCTATAAATGATTGAATTCCTTACTGATTGTTCATTGTTGGAGTTTCCTTAATGCTAAGCATTGATTTCTAGATGAAAAAATTTATTCAAAAATGGTAATTTTAATGCAATGTTTATGTAAGTTTTGAGATCAATGTCATTATTTAATGATGTGATATACAACGGATGGACCACTGGTTTATTCAAAGAGTGAAAAATGATGTGGAAAATTGATACCAACATAAATGATTAACAAACATATAGGAGTTAAGTTAACGCAATTTTGTTGTAGTACGCTTTCAAAATAAACCTTACTTCAATTAGGTCTTTTGAAGATTGTAACGTGGTTTGGTTCACAATTTTTTTGAACAAAAGGATATAGGACTCAAAAATTTTAAATTTAACCACCTCATTCTCCTTGATGATCTTCAGTCCTACATTCATTTAATTCGACTCACACATTCAAGCTCCGAAAAGATTTTGAAGGTGAAGATGTTATGGTGCGGGAATCAATGATGTTTTTTTGCTTGAGGTGGTAGTCACCTGCTTTTTGTTTGGTAAGCATACAATTTGTTCTTATTCTTTATTTTGTTTAAGAATTTTTGGCGATCCTTCTTTCTAATTTTCTTCTTATCTCTAATTTTTATCTGGACCATTTTTTTCTAGTTGACAGTCTGGCTGAATGCCCTAACTTTTTTCCTAAGGGTTTTTTTTTAATTTAAATGACAAAAAAGACCCTCCATTATAATTTTAGTATAAAATAAAATAAAAACTAATTAAAGTCAACATAATCAAACATAATAAAATAATCAGAATAAATCTGAAATAAAACTACAACTAATTCTAGTTAATTGAAGTGATTGAGGTTTCATTAAAAAAAGAGGAAGAAATCATTATCGTAATTTAAGGGATTGATACATGGCGGTCGGGGTCGGGTGTATAAGGACTTACTTATGTCGTAAAATGGTACTGAAATTCTGCAGCCTCCTTCGACATACAAACCAGTGATCAAATTTTGGTGGTTATCAAATCGATCACATATAGGAGCTGCAGGAAGAGATCGTATCCATTTGATCTTATCAAAGTAAAATAAAAACATCAAATAGCCTAAGATAGAAAAACACTCCATAATCACATAAATTATACTCTGTATAATGGCCCAAGTTTACAATCAAAACTGTTTCTTTTTCTTTTCCAAGTAAAAATGGTGTCTCTGAAAATTCAATACTGCCCATACCAAGTGTCTCAAACCAACTTCAGGCCAGAGGACTTCTGGTGCATACAAAGGGCATGCACTAGTCTGCCAAAGAAGAAAATTACTGAGACGCGCCTCTCCAGAAGTTCGAATCAAGATATCCGGGTCAGGTGCCACTGACATGTACATGTTCTTCTCAATATCAACTAGTTTTATAGAAGCAAACTCACCTTGCTTGTGCTTTCTCTCTTCATTGCAAGGTGTGATTTCATCTTCACTGTAATTATCACTACGTTTTTCTGAATTTTGCTCAAATAAGTAATCTTTCTCTTCCCCGCCTTCCACTCCTTCATGTAGACTTCTACAAGCTTTTGTTTCATTTTCTTTACATGAATCACGAAAATGCAAATCGATACCATTACTTTTTGGGCCCTGAATAGTTCTTGTAAACTCACAGTTGGAAACTTTATCTTCCTTGGATGCTTGAACTTCATTCCATTTATCCTTGCAGGACTCTTGAACAGCATGCACGATCTCATCCCGCGATGTATATGCAACACAAATTAAAAGAACTCTCTCTTGGTTGTGGGCGGTAACTCTCATCGCCTTTTCTGCAGCAACCCTGACAGGTTCTGTCAATAACTGCATGTTTCCAATGAAATGTAATCTAACACCGTATTCATTAATAATGCTTTCCTGTTGAAGCAACTCCTCGATCTTTTCTCGCATCAATTCCATGAATGTTTGAACCTCTTCAGGCTTCCTTTTGAAATTATCAATGCTGAATGCATAGACACTTACATACTTAATACCCAATTCATAACAGTATCTAAGGATGGACATGAGAGCTGAAAATCCAGCCTTATGTCCATCACCTTCTGCCAAGTTTCTCCTCTTTGCATACCTTCGATTCCCATCCATGATGAAAGAAATATGACTCGGCAAAGGACCGACCGATAAAACGGAAAATATGCATCTTCTTAGATAACAGCATAAACCTCCAAGCAAGTGGCGTGTAATACCTCCTGCGCTTTTCTGCATTGAAGTGTTCAGTAAAGAAACTTGTAGGGTCTCAGATAAACCTGTATGATAAGAAAAAAAACAAGAAAATTAGCATTAAAAAAAGTTGAAACAACAACAATTGAACATCATAATAGATCCTCAAAAGAAACAAATGCAGCACTTAATCTGTTTCGTTAGAAAAAGTATTGAACAATATAATTCTGTAACAGTAAGCAATAAGCAACTCTGTAGCACCGACCCATACCGACCCGACACTTGTGGTTACGTTTAATTAATTAATTTTTCAAAGTCAGTGTCGGTGTCGGTTCAGTGTCGTGTCCGTGCTTCATAGCATTAAAGTTCAACATATACACTAAGTTTTCAGGTCAATATGTAAGAATAGAAGTTTATATTTGGATTATGGCATTCCTGTTGAATTGTTAAAAGAGACAAAAACTTGAAAAATATTCATATAAACAAACATGTTTTTATCATCAACAAGTGATAATATTTGTTGACAGAAACCATAAAAGTGGACGAAACCAGAAGCACTCTAGCTACCTTTCTCCATCAGTTTGCAACAGTAAAGCTAAATCAAAATATAATTTACAAAATCTGCACCGGCCACAGATAAATATGCAGTACAACCTAATATTCTCTGCTATGTAGGGAAAAAAACTACCAGAATCAAGAATCAAATGCTTCTTTCCAGACATAAGAAAATAAATGGATAAAAATTTGGAATAATAAAAGAGATTTGAGGGTTATCAAACTTTACTCTACAATACAATTTCAAGTTTAACAGACTGCAAATATGTGGAAACAATCAAATATTCAAAAACCTCAACAGACTGCAACCGGGTAGTTAATGGCGGCGCTATCGCGGCGGTGTAGGAGGAGAGTCCACTGGCGCATCATTGTCGCAGATGCCTCAGATGCATTTCGGAGAACAAAACAGCGGAAGTAGCTGCCGCCGCGATACCAAAACGGCGTGCTCTAATAAAAAAAATCTGATTTTTTCCAAAAATAAATAACAAAATTTCTGAAATATTTTCTTCATAGCAAATGAGTATACCTTATAAACATCCAGTTGCAAAGCAATCACTGGTGTCATTGGCTTCATAGGAACTGGTTTGTCTCCTTTTGTTGCTATAAGAGCTGATATGAATGCTCTTTCTATGTTATTCCCCTAAACTCCTTATCACTCTTACATGATATTCATATTGCCTTCCCCTATAGTATATAAGATGCAAAGATAGTTGACTTTACTTTTCTAGTTTTTTTATTTATCTTAACTGTGCCGTTCTTAAGAAAGAGGGTTATGCTAATAAAGTTTAGACAGTGATTTTTCAAGCAATCGATTCATAAGCTCATTCAAGACTTGAATCAAACTGCTTGAGTTTGTTCTCTATACGGAGTTAAGATAAACAAAGGGTTCTGTAATTTTGTTTGTTTTTTCTGAAATGGAGGCAATTCATCAAACACCTAAGCTGCAGAATCAAAATGAAAAACAAAAATCTAAAGTTACTCTAAAACAGAATTTCTCCACGAACAAACCAATATAGTAGTACTCAAATATCAACAAAATTGAAAATTTCATGAACTTTCACACAAAAAAGAGAGAAACCCTTTGAAAAGTACATGAGATAAACGAACGAGAAACGCACGAATATGGAAGAAGAGGGAAATACCTTTCAAAGAAGAGGCACGTGCGTGTGTAAGATCGCCTAAGAAGTTAGAATTTGATCGATGGAAGTAATAAAAAGAGAAAAATTCTTGAAAATAATGGTGTGAGATTGGATCAATTTTATAGAGAAGAAAAAACTAATCTTATCTAAACATAATATTTGTTGTGGTTTAGATGGTTTTGAATAATTAATTAAAATTTTGATTGGATCTAATTTTATGCAATTAGATTAGGATTGATTTTAAAATATTTAAATTATAATTTTTATTTGTATTTATATTATAAAAAGTATTATAAAATAATAGATTTAAAATAATATATAATATATTAAATATTAAAATTACAAAATAAAGAGATAATAATCGATGTTGCTTGAGACAAATGAATAATTAAAACTAATCTGAATCAAATAAAAATCCAAACACAAATAAAATTATTTCATATTTTGCAATTTCCAATATTTCTGAGTTGGTTTGTACCTTTTATTTATATCAGTTTGAATTTCTAACACGTTTAGTCATTAACACCTCACACGTTTAGTCATTAACACCTCATTGTTTTTGGTTTTAACTCACAAAAACACTTTTTTTAACTCGCCATATTAAAATTATTAATTTAAAATTAAAACTATTAAATTGAATAATTTGTCACATACTGAAATTAGATCTCACGTGTACGAGTCTTTAATTTTGGTTTAGTCTGAAATAATATTTATAGAAATTGAATGAGGATATTATTGAAATTTATAGGTAATGTGTTTTGTAAGGTTTTATAAGAGATTGAAATAATATCTATAAAATTTTAATAATTTTTATTAGTATTAATATATTATTGCATGCGAATCTATCTAACTACTATATTAATTACTAAGTTAAATAACTGTTTAATTCTTTAATTTGGACTAATTCATGAAATTAATCCATTTATTTTAAATTTAAATAATTTTAAATTTAAATAATTTTAATTTTTCTATTTTAAATTCAAATAGTTTTAATATTTCTTTAGTATTTTTTATAAAAAAAATCAATAGAACACATGTTTTTTAGTTTTATCTATAAAGTATAACAAAATATTCATATACATGGGAAGACAAACATAATTAAAAGTGTGAGTTTAAAATTTTAGTATATTTCGCACAAAAGTGAGGGTAGAATGGGGATAGGTCGCGGTCACTGTATCTTTTAAGTCTAAGAATATATAAAATTATTTTAATATTCATTTTCATAAAAGTTTTAAAAAAATTAAATAGAGTAGAACGAACACATTAAAAGGTGATAACTTAAATCTTTGCATCCTTAATTATAAGTGCAAAATCGTAAGTGTAGACAAAACGAAAATATTTAACAAATCAAATTGTGTTACCATCCTTAATTATAAGTGCAAAATCGTAAGAAAAAGTTGAAAACTGTTTAAATTTAAATCGGAGAGACCAATTTTAATAAAATAGCAAAATCAAAACTTTAATTAAACTACTATAATTAATAATAAAAAAAATTATTTTAATATAATTTATTTTAAGTGAACTCTTTAGTACCCACGAAGTTTGGATAGCAATACAAATAGTATAAATAAATTTAGATTTTTATTTATTTTAAAATAAAATAATATTTTAATATTAAAGTTAACTCCATTAATGTTTTTTAATTATCACTCATAACTCAAATAAAATACTTGTTATGGGAAAGATGAAATAATTGGTAGTTGTAATTATATGGTTGATTAACTTTCAATAAATTGTTTATACTCCATTAGTAGAAGTTGGGATCAATTTTATGGAGAAGAAAAAACCAATCTTATCTAAACATAATATTATTGTGGTTTCGATGATTTTGAATAATTAATTAAAAAATTTATTGGATCTAATTTATGCACTTAGATTAAGATTGATGTTAAATATTTATATTATATATTATAATTTTTATTAGTATTTACACAAATTAATGGATTTAAAATATTATATTAAAAATAAAAATTACAAAATAAAAATAATCGATGATGTTTGAGACAAATGAGTATTAAAAATAATCAATTTTGTTTGAAGAAATAAACTATTAAAAGTAATTAAATAAAATAAACAAATAAATAATATTAAAATCAATTAAATATCAACAACTAATAAATTATCGTATTATATCATCCCAAAAAAGTTATTGAAATATATGCATGCATTTTAATTTAATTTAGAATGATTTTATAAAAAAAGTAATCTGAAATTTGATCAAAAGCTATTTTAAAAATATAAAAAAAAATCCAAACACAATTAAAATTATTTCATACTATTTTGCAATTTTTAATATTTTTTAATTGGTTTGTACTTTTCATTTATATCGGTTTGAATTTGAAACGTCATTAGCACCTCATTGTTTTTAGTTTTAAAATATTAAAATATTATTTAACTCATAAACACTTTTTTTAACTCACAATACTAAAATTATTAAATCGAATAATTTGCTACATACTGCAATTAGATCTCACATATATAAGTCTTTAATTTTAGTTTAGTCTATAAATTGAAATAATATTTATAGAGATTGAGCCAGGATATTATTAAAATTTATAAAATTTATAGGTAATGTGTTTTGTAAAATTGTATAAAAGATTAAATAATATTTATAAAATTTTGATTGGGCTTAGGATTAGTTTAATGTCGGGTATAGTCCAATTTAGATTCACGTCGAGAAGGGTGCAATATCGACTCAATCTTTCATAGTCGTTGGAGGTCATGTCTTCCACACGTTCTTCACGTGCTTCTCACGCGGGAACACGTTACCAGCTAAACTCACATATTTGAGAATCAGTCATCCACTTCTCTGAGTTCGTGGGTACTTGATTCAAGTCGAATACTATGTGCTGGTCTTTCCTAACTCTACGTAGAATTCTGACACGTGAGTGTGTAAGATCGTCTACGAAGTTCGATTTTGGTCGATGGTAGTAATAAATAGAGAAAATTTCTTAAAAATAATGGTGTGAGATGGGAGACGTGTCATTAGTAGAAGTTTGGATATTTTATGGAGAAGAAAAAATTAATCTTATCTAAACATAATATTTGTGGTTTAGATGGTATTGAATAGTTAATTAAAATTTTGATTGGATCTAATTTTATCCACTTGGATTAGGATCGATTTTAAAATATTTAAATTATATATTATAATTTTTATTAGTATTTATATTATAAAAATTATTACAAAATAATATATTTAAAACAAAATATTAAAAATTAAAATTACAAAATAAAACTAATCGACGATGTTTGAGACAAATGGATTATTAAAAATAATTGATTATATTTGAAACAAATAAGTTATTAAAAACAATTAAATAAAATAAACAAATAAATAATATTAAAATTTAT